CCGAATATATCAGATGCATCCACTTATTCAAGCTTTAGCGAAGAAGATTGGTGGAGCTGAGTACCCCGATCTTGTTGCTGCAGGAGAAAAATTGGCCTGTGCTCACTTTATGTCTTGCCTGGTTGAAAATGCTAACCGGTACTGGAGTAAGGACAGTTGCAGAGAGTCTGTTGAGGCATTTAACGCAGACAGGCACAATTTTGAGCATTTTCTTCAAATCTACGCTCAAGGAAGAGAACAGGAGGATTCCAATATCATAGAATCCTGTAAAACCTTCCTAGACGATTTTTCCCAGAAGTGCATGTACTTAGAAATGTGTGTTCTTCCAAAATTTTACATGTCTGTTCTGGAAAGATTGTTGAAAACATTTGACGCAGAGTCTCAACCAGTACACAGAGTGGACGTTTTGTGCCTTCTTGGACATGAGGTTAGAAAAGTAGGCGACACAGTGAAGTACAAAGCCCATATGGAGGAAGCCAGAAAGCTGTATGAAGAGAAGGGTGCTGATTTTCAGACAAACCCGTTGTCAGAAGTAATTTATCTTCATAGCTATGCCCGATTTCTTTCAGAAAGCAAAGTATCAGATGAACCTAAAAAAGTTTACCTGAAATCACTGCAGATCTGCAAAGAAAAACTCCCTGAACATCCTGAAAGAGCAGCAACTTTGCTATTTGCTGGACGACTAGATAAACGTACCAAGGAAACAACTGAGGRTGGCCAAAAGATTAAGCAAGCATGGCAGCTTTTCAACACGTGTCTTGGTGAACATTTTATGACTGCACAGTGCCTAAAAGACTTTGCCGACTTACTTTTCTCTTCCGGAAACAAGACTGAACTGGATAGAGCACTATCGTATTATCAAAAGGCTCTAGAAATGATGAAAAAATTGGGAATGGATGGTCATAAAGAGAGTATTCTGACTCTAAAAAACTACGGAGTTTGCCACAGGAAGAAAGGTAACTTTGAAGAAGCAAGAAATCTACTCGAAAAGGCGGAACGCGTTGCCGAGAGAGAACTAGATGAGGATCACAGGTGGAAAGTCATGGTGAAGACTGACCAAGCTCTTTTGTATGAAGAAGTCGGAAAGAAAGACCAAATGGAGGTGGCGATGAAAGAAGGACTTCATATGTGTCACAGACTCCAACTGACTGTAGGACAACTGGGCAACAAACATCTGATACGGAAAACTCTAAATCGTTATCCAGAGTTATTTCCAAAAGGACAGTACCCTCGTTAAAATGCACATATGCCATCTGTAACTCAAGGAGAAGTAACTTAGAAGATCATTACTTCAGATGTAAACCATCAAAATGACTTTTCAAAAAGCAGCTTATCCTCTTTAGGATGAGTCATATCACATGTTGCCATATATAAGAACCGTTTTGTCCGACACTGTTATTACTTACAAGTTGGGCTGAATTTCACAGTAATTACATTGGCGAAAGAAATGAACGAAGACCTATTTTTTACATAGGTTAGCTAATTTTTGTTTTCTTTTAAAATAGAAACAAAGTCGCTATAACTTGAGTTATAAACTTACTTTATATGTGGCACTCATGTCCAATACTGTCGAGTAGATTCCATCGGAAAAGAGAACTTTCTATTCGTTGTCGACCGGAAAATTACATCTCATTAGTTATTAGCTGGATATAAAGCCTGCCGGATCGATCGATTCGATCGATTCG